AACTATTTTTATTAGACATAACCCTCTTTGAAATTTAGAAGTTATTGTACGTAACCGTATGAACTATTTTATTTAAATGAATCTTATCTAAAAATTTATCTTTTAATCCATACATTTCCACCATCAACTCTGACATATTACTGGTAAGCATAGCGCGAAAAAATAAGACGAAAAATTCCTTCTTAGTCTCAAAAACACCCTTTATATTAAAAGAAAAGATAAAAAAAATTCAGGACTAAAGAATTATTTTCATCTTTTTTTTTACACATACTTGCCACATGATATCATAGAATAGATTGTGCTAATTTAAAGATTAAATAAGAAATTTTCATATAAAAAATAGTGAAATAAAACAGTTCTTGAGGGTCATCACGTGTAACAACTCCTAAAGTTGAGCATTTTACGTAATAAAAAAGGTTGATCCGTTTACTGCAAGTTCTCAAAAATGTTCATGGTGGTTTTCTATAATTAACCCTAAGATTAGATATATCTACATGGGTTTATTAAAAATATCATAAAGTGCTAATTAGCCATATTTCATTGAAATGGTTATACTGAAAAGCACAAAAAAAAAGCACACTATACAAGTCAGGGTGTGCTTATCAGCTCTAGCGCACTAGTAGATTAAGTATGATCTAAAAATTACTTTATAGTTTCACAAAACTTGTGCCACAATTGAGCTGGTTTTTTAATTCAAATTGTAATCCTTAAGCTAACTTTCTTTTCAATCAATTCCTAAGTGGACCCGCTCCGTCACTGTGTTTTGGTTGCTTCCGTTTTAATTTTGTCAACAATCGAAACGGACTTTCGATACGAAGCGCTATTGTTTTGGGTTCGACTGTGACTTAGCCCAGAATAAATGGGCTAAAAATATGATATACAGAAAAATAAGTGGGCTCAAGTATGACCCAGCCCAACAGTAACGGATGCGGCAAACACCCAAAAAAAAAAAAAGATCTTTGTGAGTTAATAGGGTTTCCGTTTCAGAACCCAGTCTACGCTACTCCTCTCACGCGGCTCCTCTCTAAACTTTTTTCTCCACCTCATCGGAAGTCGTC